GAGGAGGGGGAGGAGGGGGAGGAGGAGTTGGAGGGGGCGGGGCCAGAGGGCCGCAGCCCAGCCCCCCAGGCCTCAGGCTGGGCCCCAGAAGCAGCCTCCCGGGGTCCCAGCAGCCCCGAGAACCCCCTGCAGCTGCTGCGCTTCTCCGAGCTCATCAGCGGCGACATCCAGCGGTACTTTGGCCGCAAGGACAGGGGGCAGGACCCGGACACCCGTGACATCCGTGAGGACGACAGCTCAGCCCAGGGCCTCCGCTGTGCTGACCTGGTGAACCGGGCTCCGGGTGGGCCCCCCGGTGGCGAGGAGGCTATGGAGCCCGGCGTCCTCTCCCCGAGGGGTCCCGAGGGGCAGGCACGCGGGCTGGGGCCCCTGGCCGAGCTCTTTGACTACGGGCTGCGGCAGTACTCAGGGCCCGGGGCCCCGGCCGGCCGCCGGCTACGGCTGGAGCGCAAGTACGGCCACATCGTCCCCATGACCCAGAGGAAGCTGCCGGTCTCCTTCTGGGAGGAGCCGGCGCCCGGCCCCCTGGGCCTGCTCCGCCCCGGCACGCCCGACTTCAGCGACCTGCTGGCCAGCTGGTCTGCGGAGACCGGCCCCGAACTGCCCGGCGGAGGCCCCCAGACCCTGGATGGGGTACAGCTAGCCGAGGCCTAGCGAGTGGGCCGGGGTCGGGGGTGGGGGGCGGGCTGGAGCAGCAGGCGTCTGGACTGTCACTGCTCTCTCGGAGGAGCCCCTGGGGCCCCCCAACCATGGTGGCAGCCAGCAGAACGAGCCAGCTCAGGTCGGGACTTGGCAGGCCCAGGGAGTCGGCCCCCAGCAGAGGCCCCCCCGGGCAGGAGCCGCAGCCCCTCAGAGGTCGTGTGCTCAGGGGGTCTACACACTGTGCCTGGCTCTGGGCGAGGCCGTTCGCCACCCAGACATCCCTGAGGCCCCAGGTGGGCAGCAAAGGGCAGCTGTTTCCACCACCTGCCCACCGCCCGGTCCTGGGGCTGCCCCTCCTTGAGGCCCCGAGGCAGGTGGCAGGGCCAGCCACGTGGGAGGGAAGAGCGAGGGCCTCCTTGGAGGCGGGAAGAAAGGGCACTCCCCGAGCGTGGGAGCAAACGCGACATTCGCTCCCCAGATCGGGGCAGGGGGAGCTGCTTCCTGTGCTGGCCACCGCGCGGGCGTGACCCAGGGGACCCCAGACCCGGGCCAGCTGGCCCTCAAGGAGGCCTGCAGTGAGTGGCTGGGGCCCCGGGACGCCACGGCCGTCGGCAGGAAGGCCCAGGAAAGCCCTGGGTGGAGGGCTCACTGGGCTCGCGCTCCTGGGGGAGGGGACTCTGGACTCCGACAGCAACAGGAGCTGGCACGTTTATTTCCGGGAAAGGGATGCGGACGTGAGCGGGCGGGCGGGCTCCTGGCAGAGGGACCTCTCCGAGACCACGCTCGCCCTCCGCTGCGCCACCCGGCTCATGAGGACCGCCTTCCACTGCAGCCACCTGCCGGGAGACGCGGCTCACGCCTGCTGACCTCGGGGCCTCCCCGGCACCACCCTGACCTGGAGGGGTCTCCAGAGGGCGGCTTCCCTGCCCACCTCACGGCCTGGTACACGCCCCAGCAGTTCATGGGGACCGCCTCTCCCGGGGCCGCGTCCTTGATGAAAAACCGCTGCCTCACCAGGGACCCGAGGACCCTCCTGCTGCCCAGCGTCAGCGCCCACGGGCCCTCCTCACTCCACAGCCGCACGACGCTCTCACGCAGGCTGGCCAACTCCTCCGCGCGCTGCAGACAAGGGCACCGTGAGGAGGGGCCAGCGCGGGAACGCAGGAATCTGGCCACAGGGGGCCCGACAGCAGACGGGATTTATCTCCCTCTGGACAAACCAGGGTCTTATCTACCGGGAAACCCCGCTCAGGCCAGACACGCAGATGGACAGACATGGGGAAGGCCACAAAGCCAGAGGTTGTGCCGGGGAGGCGGGAGGGGGGGCAGGGTCCACGGAGGGGCCACCTCTCTCACCAGCTTGGTTTCTGTATTAAACTTGAGGTTCTGGATGGTCTTGTTGTCTTGGATGCTGTTCTCCAGTTTCATTATTTGGTTCTGAAACTAAACACGGCCCTCGTCTGTCGGGCGGGGCGAACCCTCGGGCCTGAGGCTGGCCCCTACCCCCGTCCCCCCGTCACTCAGGCAGGAGCTGGCCCGTGACATGTGGGATCTGGGGCGCGTCACTCAGCCCAGGGTTCAGCCGGCGCCTGTCACCGTGATTGCTGCCAGCCCAGCGTCTGGGGACTCTGGACAGGTGTCCCCGCTCAGGGTGTCTTGGTTCTGGGGCCTCCCTGGGGGCCCCTCTGCCGAGTGTGATGGGCACAGGGGCTCAGGGGTACCGTGACCAGCTTGCCCTGGATCTCCGCGATCTTGCACCCGGGGTTGCCCTCCCTGAGCAGCTGAACAGAGGACAGCAGAGAGGCCAGCTCCTGCCGCACGGCCCCGACCTCGAACTCCCTGTAGGAACAGGAGGGTCTGGGCGGGGGTCCCAGGCCCGGGGCGTGCAGAGGGAAGAGGGCAGGGCGTGAGGGGGCACCCAGCTTTGCCACCCCTCCAGCGGGAACTGGGGGGACCCCAGGGGGTGACAGAAGGCCAAGTGGAGGATGCGTGTGGGCTGCACCCGGTGGGGCCAAGCGCAGAGCCGGGGAGATGCGGGGGGCTGTGGGAGTAGGAGACTTGTGGACACGGCAGGGCCGTTCTGAGGCCAGGAGCTGGGGCCTCACCTGGCCTTGCCCTCGGCTGAGATCTTGAGGTCTGAGTCGCTCTTGTGGAGGACGCACTTGTCGGACACGGCCTCTATCTGCAGCAGAGGCAAGGTGGGCGGGCAGCCGGGGCGGCACAGCAGGGTGGGGTGGGGGGAGGCGGGGCGCCCGGCCCTCACCCACCTGCCGCGGCAGGCTGTCCACTCGCTCCCGCACCTCCCTCAGGTGCGCCTCAGCCTCCTTCTGACAGCGGACCAGGCCCTCCAGGGATTTCTGCTCTGAGCCTTCCCACTCTCTCTTTGCCTAGGACACGGCGGGGACAGGGAGGGGGGACAGATGGATGGACGGGGCCCACTGGAGCCAGAGTTGAACCCAGGCAGCAGAGAGCTCCGGAGGGGGCCGACTCTGAGCTCGTCCACCCAGTCAGCACACAGCCACTCTCCAGGGACCCGGGGACCCCGGGCAGGGCCCGCAGGCTGGGCAGAGCCATATCCGGAAGAAGGAGGCCTGGCTTGGCCCCGAGCCCGCCAGGAGTCAGTCAGCAAGGGCACAACGGGCAGCCTGCCCACACCTGCAGGGGAGGGGTCTCGGGAGGCCTGGGGGGGGGGGGGCCCGCCCCATAGCAGAAGGGTGGACATGTGGCCTTGGGAGGCTTGGGGGGCCCCGCCCCATAGTGGAAGGGTGGACGTGTATTCACAGCAGCGCCTTCCGTGGCCAGACCAGGGGGCGGTGCAGTGTCCATCAGCGGAAGAAAAGATAAGCTGGTCACACACTGTATGGGAGCATTTATAGGAAACGTCCAGAACAAGCAAATCCGCAGAGGCGGGCGTCAGATCAGCGGTCGCCAGGGGCCTCGGGGTAGGGAGTGACCCCTAGCCACACCAGGGCTTCCTCTGTGGTGACAGGAAGGATCTACGAGTTATGTGGTGGTTGTCCAACCCTGAATACACGAGCAGCCGCGATCCCCACCCTTTCCAAGGGTGGACGCTAGGGCGTGGGAATTAAAGGTCAACGACACTGTTACTAGAAAGAGGAAAAAACCCAAGGGCCAGGCCACCTTGCCGGCCCCTCTGGAATCCGCTTTGTGGTCGGGGCCACCATGGGCCTCGTGGACAGCAGCTGGGCAGGGGCGGGAGGTTTGGGACCGCCTGTCAGGCCTGCTTGCTCGGGCACTGGAGATGGCTGGGGCTGGGTGTGGGGTGCAGGTGACCCCCCTCTGCTCCGTGCTCCCCCCCCCCGCTCCTGCTCCGCGCTCCGCTCGGCTCCGCGCTCACCTCGCTCAGCCGAAGGCTCAGTGTCTGCTCCTGCAGGTCCAGTCTCCAGCTCAGAGCCAGGAAGTGGTCACTCAGGTCCTTCACCTGCGTCTCCAGCTCGGCCAGCGACACCTCCAGGGCCCGGCTCTTCTCTCGTTGCTGCGGGGCGCTGGGCTGAGTGCGGGCACCTGGGGAGGCGGGGGCCCCACGGGGAGACCGACCCGGGCCCCGCGGCCCTCACCAGCTCCAGCGCGCTGTGCACCTTCCGCTGGGCCAGCTCCCCGGCCAGCTGCACGGCTTTCAGGTCCTCCCGCAGGCAGGTGGCCAGCTCCCCCGCCCGGCTCTCCTCCAGGTGCCCCTTGACGTCCCTGGGGGTTGGTGCCCAGACAGACTGCCCCTCAGCCGAGGCTGCCTGCCCGCCGAGGCGCTGGGTCAAGGCGGAGGCCTGGCGGCGGGCTCCAGAGCCATCCGGGAGACCCGGGGAGCAGAGAAGGGTCACAGGGCCCACCAGGACGGGGGCTGTGTACAGTGGGGCACGCTGAGTCCTCCGTGGGGGGGACGGGAGCCCCCATCAGCGGGGGCGGGGGGAAGAAGGGGTTGGGACACCCACCGGGCCTTCTGCTCGGCCAGGAGGATGCGGCTCAGGGACACCTGATTCTGCCGTACGAACTTGGTCAGCTGGACCACGGCCCTGTCCAGGCCCCGGCACTGCTCCAGGAGGCGGCGTGCTTCCTGCTGCTGTGCGCAAGTGGCCCTGAGCCCAGGCGCCGGCCGGCCCGGCCCGGCCACCCCCAGCCCCTGCCCCCCTACTGCGCACCTCGCGCTGCCCCTGCAGGGCCCGGACGCGCTCCTCGGCCAGCTCCTGCAGCCCCCGCCACCTGCTGTCCAGCTCCTCCCGCAGGCTGCCCTCCGCCTTGAGCCGGGCGCTCTCCGAGACCTTCATCCTCTGTGGGGAGACCCGCCCCCGCCTGCCGTGAGTGGGGCTGTGGGGGACCTGGCCCGGCCGCAGGCCCGCGGGCTCCCACCTTCTCCAGGGCCAGGAAGCTCTTCTGCAGGAAGCCGCACAGCTTGGCCTCTCTCTTGAGGAAGCGGAGGCTCATCTCCTCCCCGAGCTTGGTCACCTGGGCCTGCGGGGGGTCAGCGCGGCCGCCATGGGGCCGGACCTCCCTCCTCGCCACGTCCGCCCCCGGCCCCCCTGCCATCTCGGACTTCTTTGCTTTCTTGCCCAACCGGGCCCATCACAGAGGGGGCTCTGGGTCCTGTGTCCCCCACTGCCCCCGAGCCTCGCAGAGCTGGGCCTACCGCACCCTCCTGAGGAAGGCCAGCGTGGCGGGCGGGGGCCACGCGTTCCCCCCAGAGCGCCAGGCACCAGGGCTGCGAAGGGTCTACAGGGTCCGGAACACACTTGGCGCTCGTGGTGACCACCAGATGCCACACCCAGGGAATCGCATCCTGAGCCGGGAGCCTCCGCGCGGGAAGCCGAGTAAGTACGGGAGCACTCCATGCTCCACGTTCGCACACATCCACACGCATGTGCGCACACAGGGACGTGCGTGCATAGACCACACACGCTCCGAGCTCCGGGCTCCTGCCCCCTCCTCCCTGCAGGCAGCTGTGCCCTGGGCCCCGCCAGCCTTGCCCCTGCACACGGGGCGCTCTGGAGCAGGTCAGCACACGGTCTCTGTGAGAGCCCAAGGGTCTGTGCCTCAGTCCGTCCGCTCTGCGGTTACAGCGCAAAAGCAGAAGCGGACGACAGTAAATGAGTGGGCTTTGCAGAACCAGGCGGAGGCCACAGGTTGCTGACCGGGCACCCGAGAGCGCTTGGGGAAGACGCGGGCGCTCGGAACCCGCCTGGCATGTCAGGAATCCGAGGGCCAGTGAGTGCCTCCCGGAGCTCCTGGCCGCAGCGGTGGGCAGGGTCTCGATGCAACCAAGACGCCACCTTCCCGAAGGGCAGAGGAAGGGAGGCCACCGAAGCTGGGCAGCCGAGCTATGTGGGCAGCAGCTGGGAGCACTTGGCCCACGCAGGCCCTGGTCTCTGTTTGCAGAGCCGAAGAGGCTGGGTCTGGAGACGTGCCTCCCGTGCCCTGCCCTGCCTCCCAGGGTCTCACGCAGCGGGGGCACCTGACCAGCCCAGGGCTGGGACCACGCCGGGAGATGGCCGAGAAAGGGGCTTCAGGGCTACGACGTCCTATGTCCTGATTTGGGTGCTGGTCACAGGAGGGGGGGGTGAGGGGCGGGGGCTAAGACAGGGCCACTGAGGTGTCATCTGTGCAGAAGGATGAGCTCGGTCTCAGCGCTTCCCAAATCGCAGCCCTGGGCCACGTGCGGCTACTGGGCATCTGGAACGTGGCTCACGTGACCGAGGGACCTAAAATGTTAGCTCATTTCCACAGACGAAGCCACCTGTGGCTGGTGGCCACCTACCGGACGGGGCAGGACCGTGGGGGGACCACGTGGGCCCAGTCACGTGGGCGGGGAGGACACGGGCTACAGGTGCAGTGGTCTCTTCTGACGGACCCTCCTGGTGGCAGCTCGCCTGGCTGCCCGGGCCCGGCCTCCCTCCTGGTACCTGCGTCTTGGCCACCTCAAGGTCTGCCCTCTGGCTCGCCTCCTCCTGGCTCTTCTGCAGACCGCTGCAGGCCGCTTCCCGGGACTGTTCCTCCTGCTCCAGCCTCCCGGCCAGCTCGGCCAACCTAGGGCAACGGCGAGGGTCACGGCAGCCCGGCCGGCCAGAGGGCCTGGCTGTGGGGCTACCGTGAACTTTTCGGGGCCTCCGGACACTGAGAGTCCCTCTCGAGGCCAGGCCTGCATCCGGGGGGGGCCCAGGCTGACCTATAGGCCACCTGGGCAAACACAGACAAGGATAAGCCGCTGACTTCCGCGTACCCATGCGGGGACGTGACAGCGGCTTGGATGAGTGTGACTGATGGGGAAGAGAGCGGTAGGGATTCTGGACCTAACTCTCTTTTCCCCACAGAGGGTCCGGGGGGGGGGTCCGAGCCCTCCACCCTGTCGACCAGCAGCGTGGCACCAAGGGCCAGGGGACGCCTTCCCTGCCTCGGTGCCTCCTACCCACGTGACCACACGTGGGAAGTTCAGAGCCGGCCCCCAAGGAGGGAGGCAGGCGGGGCCCACCTGAGGCTGGCCTCCTGCTCGGTGTCCTTCCGCTCAGAGTCCTGGAGCGCCTGCTTCCTCCGGACCTGTGTCAGGGCTTCCCGGACCTCCACCAGCCTGGCACGCAAGAGCCGCTTCTGCCTGGGGCCTGCCTGGCTCGCCCTTCTGGCCGCCTTTGGGGTTCATGTCCCAGCCCAGGGGCCCCGGCAACGGGTCTCCTGCCCTTTTCTCTGCAGGTGCCACGGCCCATGCAAACCCAGACTTCTCGGGCTGGGCCGTGGATACACGCTGCTTACCAGAGCGAGGCGACCGGGACCCCAGGTTCCCGCCCCAGCCGCCGCTTTCCCAAAGCCCCTGACCTCCCCGCTGGGGCCCAGGCCATCGGTGTGGGGTACCTCCTGTCCAGGGCCTGCATCTGGGTCTGGTTCTGGGGGCTAGGAAACTGGAAGGAGGAAGGGCAGGCTGAGCCTCACAGCACGGCCGGGACCCACAGGGGCCGGGGAGCCCCGCCCGGGGGTGGTGACGGCGGGCAGCTGACCTCGAGGGCCTCCTTCTCGGGGGCCCGGGCCACCCGCCGTAGGTCCTGCTGAAGCTTCTTCAGCTCCGAGTCCTGGAGTTGCACGCAGGCCCGCAGCCGGAGCATTTCCCGGAGCAGGCTCAGCATGGCCGGCTCACAGCGGTCCCCGTGTTCCCGCAGGGACACCACCTCGGCCTGCAGGTCGGCCACCCTGGCCAGGGCGAGGAGCAGGCTGAGTCGGGCCGCGTGTGCCGGGGGTGGGGGCGGTAGGCAGCGTGGCTCTCCCTCCCTGGCTCCACACGGGCTCACCACTGCTCCAGCTGCTTCCAGGGCTTAGGGGGATCCTGCTCGGGGACGGATGTGGCAGACGCCAGGTGGCAGGACTCATACCTCTCGGAGATCTCCTCCAGACTCAAGAGCCCGGGGCTGGCCAGCTCCTCCTCCAGGGAGAGCCCCAGGTCCCCCAGGGTGATGGTGCTCGCCTGGGAGGGGGGCGAAGCCCCGGATAAGGGGTGGCTAGCGGCCAGCTCTGTGAGAAGGCGACCTCTGCGCCGGCGAAGGCCCCCAGGTGGAGCTCAGGATGACAGGGACTGAAATCCCTGTCCGCTGAGCTCAGTGTCCACTGCGCTCACCTCCACCCATCCGGCTGAGTCACCCAGCGCAGCCCCGGCTGGGCTCGGCTCGCGCTGCCCCAGAGAGACCGGAGCCTGAGGACACACGGCACTAGGCAGCAGAAACGGGGCAGTGCTCTGCCTGCCCAGTTCCAGAGGGAGCCCCCGGGCAGCGAGGCGACCTGAGGGGTCAAGGAATTAGTGCCGTCCCGGGTGGCCCACACTCCTGCCCTCCTGGCTCGGCCCCCGTTGGTACCAGGCTCACCCGACACGGCTTCACCGGCAACCACCGTCCGTGGCCTCAGCCGCTGCCCAGAGGCCCCGGGCCTCGCACCAGGGCGGCTAGACGGAGGCAGGGAAGGCCTCGGGGGGCACCCACCCTCGCGTCTCTCCTTCCGATCCAACAGCAAGGTAGACAGAGCCGCACAGCAGCAGGGGCTCTTCCGGAACCGTCTTTTCGTCACCAGAACCTTCGCACGTCACGGCCCAACTGCCAGTGGAACTCGGGCCCTCAACTCTCCCGGCAAGGCCTTCCCAACTGCCTGTTCCCAGAAAGACCCGAGAGGGCACCATTCAGCCGGCCAGGGCCAGGGCAGGGAGTGGCTGCTGGCCTGTGGGTCAGGAGCAGGGACCCCAGCGGGCCCCAGGTGGGAGGGACAGGCGGGGGCATTCTCCGGCCAGCCGGTCAGAGAAGGGGTTGTCCGGGACAGATAGAACAGGCAGAGGCACGCGGCCGGAGCAGGAGAAGGTGCGGGCCGCAGGCGCGGGCTGCGCGCGGGCTCCAGGATCCTCGTGGCCACAGTAAGAAAGCAAACAGAGGCGGCTGCAGCGTTTCCATGGTGCATTTTATTTAATCCCACGTGACGAATGTGCGGCCGGTTCATGTCGTCAACGCAAACCACGACATGCACACTCTCCCATGCCAGGTCCTCCCAGCCCGACGTGGTACTCCCCCTGCCCGGTCGCCCACACTCCCACGCCAGGTGCTCCAAGCCCAGTTCTGTGCTCCCCCTGCCCGGTCGTCCACACTCTCCGCCAGGTCCTCCCAGCCCGGCACCGTGCTCCCCCTGCCCGGTCGCCCAAGCCCACCCACAGAGGGCACAAGGTGGACACTCCGAAGTCAACCCGTGGTCCGGGGCCCTTTCAAGGCCCTGCCTGTGGCCACATCACCCCCTTCGTGGCCCAGAGCAGCATCCAGACCAAGGGCCCAGGGGCAGCAAACCGCCCAGACTGGCCCTGAAGCTGTCTGGCAGCTGGTGCCAGCACATCCCATAGGCGTGTGTCGGCCACAACTGCTTCCTCACCCGTGGGTTTCTGTGTCTCTTGCCTTCCCCGCCTCCCTGTGGGGTCCCACATGCGCATCCAAGACGCCCCGTCCCAGACACCCCCACCCTCGGCGGTCCTGCAAATCCCCCACTGCTAGACTTGGCTGGTGCTGAGCAGGAACAAGGGAGCCAAGCTGCAAGTGTGAGGGTACGATTCCTTTATTTCTCCCTTTCAAAGCCCCCGCTCCTCTCACCGCGTCCCCCAGGGGGGCTCCCACCAAGAAGGGACCAGCGTTTTGAGGACCCACTTCCTTTAAGGGGCCAGAACCAAGGCGAACCGTCCCTCACCCCACCCCCAGCTGCTACAATGGCACCCACATCACCTAGTCTCAGAAGTAGGCCAGGGAATCACCTCCAGAAAAGGTTTCCTAGGGCTCTGGGGACACAGGACACCGGATCCAGGCCCATCTAGCCTAACAGAGGCACAGCATTCTTGCTCTGGGCTCACCAGCCCATCCCAGAGCCCACCTGCCCCAGGACTGGAACTGGAGCTGTCCTGGAACACGGCCCCAGACCAAGGGTCCTCAGAGGCCAGTGGGAGCCCCCACGTGCTTAGATAGCAGCTCTCTCAGTGCCGTGCACTCTGGCAACAGCTGTGGGTCTGGTCTGGACCACAGCTCGGGGTGACGGAGGCGTTCACCCCATCGATGTTTTCGGCTTTCTCTCTGGCCAAGACCCCAGAGAGGCCGTGTGGTGAGTCTGGCAAAAGAGCCTAACTCCCTACAGAGCTGGCTGCAGAGGCCGCTCCCCAGGGCCCCGCCTCCAGGTGTCCAGCTGGAGCCTTTGCCAGGCAGGGTCCAGTGCCCAGGCCCATCACCTCACGGCCACAGAATGAGCCAAAGGGACAAGGCCACGATCTCTGTAGCAGCTGTGCGTCACCCGGGCCCCAGCTGGTGACGCACAGTCAGTGTGGTCCTTCCAGGCCGGCCCGCAGGGGGACAGACGGCACACAAGCAGCAGAGGGCCCTGCCTGCGGGCTGGCACCACTGGGACCCACGGGGTGCCGCTCGCTCACGGTCTCACAGGCGCACAAACACAGACACACACGTCCCGAGGAGTAGGGGATGCCGGATCCAGTGCTGATCCAGGGAGCAGGGGGGGGCCCCAGAGAAGGGCTGAGGCCTCACGTCTGGGCCAGGGAGAGCTCTTCAAGGCCCCCTTTCCCGAGCCGGTACCTGGCTAGGTCTTTCCTGGTCACCAGTCCGACCACCTGTGGAGGCAAAGCCAAGTCAGTGACGCTGGCAACCCCCTGCCTCTGTGGAAGCCGCTGCCCCACGTGCCAAGGGGCAGCACACTTTGGGGAACCCCAGGACCGAGCAGGTGGCCAGTCTGGATACCGAACCTCGAGTCCCCCACAGGAGCCGAGAGCGAGTACCCACCCGCGACCAGGGCAGTCAGCTCAGGAGGCAAAGGGCGAGGCTGGCACCCGGGCTCCCGTGGGCACGCCCTCCCCACCACTCACCTGGTTGCAGTTGTCCACCACCACCAGGTGCCTGAGGCCCAGCGCCCGGAACAGCTTGAACACCCGAGGGAGGGACGCCTCCTGCAAAAGGAGGGGACAGGGCCTCAGCTGACCTGCCGGCCCCGCTAGTATGGGAAGAGGTTGGCTGGCGGTCCCCCCTGCACCTCCCCCCTCCGCACAAAGATGCGTCCCGGAGACGCCTGGGGGGCTCGGTTGGCTGAGCGCCCGACTCCTGATTTCAGCTCAGGCCACAGTCTCACGGTTCGTGGGTTTGAGCCCCGCGTGGGGCTCTGCGATGACAGTGCAGGGCCTGCTTGGGATTCTCGCTCTCTTTCTGCGCCCCTCCCCCGCTCTCCCCCCTCTCTGCCCTTCCCCCACTCGTGTGCGCCCCATCACGCTGTCTCAAATTGAAAAAATGTAAAAAAGAGAAAAACAAAGGACGTGTTCGGAGTGGCTCCTGCCCTGGCCACAGCCTCTCGGGCAGGCACCTGGGGCACCGTGTAGGGGGAGGGGTTCATGAACTCTGAGAGGTCCATGGTGCACTCCCGCTCATCCTGGGACACATGGATGGACTGGATCGGGGGGAAGCGTGGGTAGGCGTCCCGGAAGTCCTTCAGCCGAAGCCGCCGCCGCACCAGGCCCATGTTGGAGCGTTCCACAAACACCTGCAGGCAGTGGTGTGTCAGGACTCGGGCGCCCGGCTGTGTCTCCTGCCTCCCACCCCCACCCCCCCAGGCGCCCGGCAGCTACCTTGTGCTTCAGGAGGACGATCAGCTGGGAGCGCAGGATCAAGCCCTGAAGCCGGGCCGGCTGCAGAAAAGAGACCCGTCTGTGGTCTGTGGGTGAAGCCCAAACCCGAGGCCCTTCCTGTCATGCTCAGTGGCCCCGCGGCGACCTTCGAGGCAGACACCGGCCCTGCAGCAGGCATCTCGCACACTCCCGGCAGCGGCAACGGGACGTGACCGCAGGAACAAGGCGACGAGAAGCCGGGGTGAGACGCACACCGCGGCCCTGACATCCCAGGCAGCTCCTGACGGGTGTCCCCCGCCCCCCCCACAGCTCCTCAGCTGACAGGGCAGGAGCCCAAGACACGTGGATGGCTGGCCACCCCCAGCGGGCCGCCTCTGCCCGGCCTCCTGATTCCGTTCCTTCCCAGCAAGGCATTTGGCGGAGCCCCAAATGCGCGTGCAGGGTCTCCATACCAACAGCACGGCTGCACAGGCCACACATGCAGCCGGGAACTTGGCCTCCGCCAGCTGTCCCGGGGCCGCGTGCGCGCGGGTGGGCCGCCCCGGGTACCTGGCTGTCGTCGGCCAGCTCCACCACAGGGAACCCGTTGTGACTGGAGGCCGTGTTGCTGAGAACGTCCACGATGACGCCCACCTTCTCCCTCCTCCGCAGGCAGACGACCGGCGTGCTCATCACCTCCCTAGGAAGAGCCCCTGCTGTGGCCTTGCCGTTACCAGCCACGGGACCTCCCCGCTCTGCTCACACGGGAGTGCACGCGTGATACGTGTGCAGCCCCCGTAGGCGGGAAAACCGGGGACGGGGAGCCAGGAGCCCGCAGACCCCCAGGGGCTTCCCCGGCCGGCTGCCCACACGGCGCTTCCCCAGACCCTCAGACACGGGCCCTCCCAAACCGCCGGAAGCCGCCACGGTGCCACCGTACCTGGCGGTGAGCGAATGTGAGGTGACGGGGGCCTCCCAGTGCAGGAAGGGCACGCTCTGCAGCTGGATGTGCATGTCGTACAGGCCCTGAGGACGTGCGGGCTGTTGGCGCGGGGGCTCTGTCGGTCCCTCCCTCCACCTCTGCCGCACACCCCCAGCCCCCAGGCTCAGGCTCCCGGCCAGGGGCATGGGGGGCCCACCAAGCAAGGGACAAGAAGGATTGGCAAGCCTCTTCCCACAAGCCACACCTCGATGAAGATGTCCCCCACGATCTTGGCAGTCATCAGGACCAGCATGATGGGGAAGCCATAGGTCACGTTGCTGGTGGCCTCCATCATGATGACTGTCAGGCTAAGCGTCATCCTCACGATCCCACCTGTCCAGGGGTGGGGGGGTGTGGGGGGGAGTCAGGGGTGGCGTCCAGCCTCTGTGGGCCACAAGGCCTCTCCTACCTCCCCTGCCCATCTGTGTTCTGTGTGCACACCTGCGTGCCCCCCCGACCCCACCATTTACCCTCGTGGTCCGCCCGGGCAGGCCGCACTGGGTGGGGACAGTGACCCTGCACAATGACACGGGGTCAACTCCTGCCTTCACTCCTCCAAGGGGAAGGTGCCCCCTCCTAAACTTGGGACCCCACGGGGAGGCCAGGACTCACCCAGCTGGGCGGCTGCTCCCATCAGGGCGTATTTGCCAGGATCCGCCCAGATCTGTGGGGATGACAGAGGAGGGTCAGGGGCTGGCAGCCCCCTACTCAAACCCAAAGAGATGCATGACGCCCCAGGGGCCACTGGGCCCAGCAATTCCAGCCCTAGAAGGAAACCCTATGGTTTACACACACGTGAGCAAAGTGGTCTGTGGTAGCATCCAGGGTGACAGAAACCTGGAAGTACCCTAGGTGCGCCCCGCTCAGGATGCCCCGAATGACCTATGCCACCTGCACGCACCGGACGACTCAGTAGCTAAGGCAAAAAGCACCTTCTGTGTGCTGAGGAAGGACGGTGGCGCCCACGCGCACGCAGCGGGCACCATCTGTGCAGAAATGACTGCACCGTGAGGGAGCAGGGAACCCAGCACGTGCACAGCACGGACAGACGCGGGCGACGCCTCACAGCGTGGGGTTCTGCTCAGGAAATGCCCAGAACGGGTGCGTGTGCAGAGACGGGGTGTGGCAGCGGCTGCCAGGGGTGCAGGCTTCCTGGGGTGAGGGATGTCAAGTATGGCGCTCGACAGCGGAGACTCGTACACAAGTCTGAGAACACGCTAAGGAACGCCGAACTACGTGCTTCCGCAGAGGGGGAGGCCTTACGGCGCACAAACCGCTTCAGGATTGAAAGACCACCACCCAAAGACCACGTCTGGAAGGAAACCTGACAAAACACACAACCAGAGCCTGGAAAAGGGAGCAGATGGGGGGATGGGAGACTCTGCCTGTGCCTTCTCACAGGTTTTTAAATCTTGACTAAAATAAGAATAAAAACACAAAACATGGAAACCAAGTCCCAGAGGCCGGCACATGCACCTCGGTCACATGCTCCCAGGGCCCGTCCTGTGACGGGAAACACCAAGCCTCCCCGACGAGCGTCTGTGCAGCACAGACAGGCGGCTGGGCCAACGGGACGCGTCAAACACCAGCGTCCAGGAAACTCAAGACCGAGCACAAGCACCGTCCCCGCGCACTGGGAGCCCACACTCACCGCGGCCCCGGTGACGTAGGACAGGGAGATCCCGAAGAGCCGGCCCCAGGCGGCCCCGATGAGCAGGGACGGGATGAAGACACCAGCGGACACCGTGAGCCCGTAGGTCCAGCAGGCCAGGAAGAAGTAGACCAGGGTGAAGAGACCTAGCGTCACGGGGTTGTAGGAGCCTAGGGGAGAGGGGGCTGGCCAGGGCCTGAGCGTGGACCCACCCGCGTGGGCCCACGCCAGCAGCCGCCCTCCAGGAAGAGAAGGGTCCGGCCGAACCCCTGCACACCAGCGTGCCCACCACTGCGGCAAGGGTGGTGACCCCTGCCCTCAGGGCACAGCTGGCCGGAAGGCGATACCCGGGCCCTGGGCCCAGTGACCGCGGGTTGGTGAGAGAGCACGTGGGGACATGCGGCTGGCACCAGAGAGCCTGGGCACTCACCTGGTGGGTCGTGGAAAAGGCTGACCACGCTCTTCTCGGGGGTGTTGAAGAAGGCCGCGGCCATGGAGTTGTACTCACCGTCCGCACAGAAAAGCTGCGAGGGTGGAAGAGGGGACAGGCCGCTGGGGCCAGGGGCCAACCACGTGATGGGTGGGGCAGGTCAAGGCCTAGCAGGGGCCAGCAAAGAGCCAGGCCCAGGAACGGCCAGAGCATCAGAGGTCCAGCCTGCAGGGGCCAGTCCACGGAACAATGGGGCACACGAGGACTCCGGGACGCACCCCTGAGCACACTCCCAGGGCTCAACAGGCGGCCACCTGAGCGCTGGTGCGCAGGGGTCCGGCCCTCCCAGGCGAGCACAGCTGTGGTTCCTGGACGCCTAACCCACAGAGGAGGCCGGCTCGGGTGGCCAGTTGGCTGGGGGAAGCCCAGACCCACACCCGTGACACCGGTTTCTATCCACCCGTCAGTGGTCACTCTCTGGTGCATCCACCAGCCCCTGGCCACCGCGAATCTGCTCTGCCTCCGTGGACCCGTCTGTTCTGGATGTTTCACATACAGAGCGTCACACACCATACGGGACTTTGTGTCTGGCTTCCCTCCACAGTGTTTTCGAGGTTCCTCCACGCTGTATTGTGTGTCAGGGCTCCTTTTCATGGCCAAATAAACCCATTTACAGGCAAACCCTGTCGTGTTTATCCGTGTGCCAACCGCCAGAGCACGTGCGTGCGTGTGGCTGTACTTTTCAGGCCCACACCCACAACAACCCGCTTTGGAAGTCCTCGTGTGGCCCTGGGCAGGCCAGTGCTCTGGAGGGAGGACCGGGGAGACCCTGTCTGACATAATGCCTCTCCCTGACGCCCGGTGGCCCTGGGAAGCCCCTCCATCCCGGAGTTCAGCTGTGCTAGCCTCCTTCCTGCCGGGCCCCGGCTGGCGGACCCTTCCCCCCGACCCTGGACCCCTTACCTGGAGGGGATAGGACACGGAGCTCCCCTGCAGGGGCTGGCAGTCCCGCGATGAGTAAATCAGCACGAAGGCGACCGTGGCCGTGACGGCAGCCACCAGCATGGCCTCAATCACCTGGAGGCAGGGCCGGTGGATGTACCTAGAGCAGACAGCAGGATGGACAGGGCCTTGGGACGGCTGGACGCCTGGGCCGCTGCCATGACAATGGAGACCATGGCTCCAAGGAAAGCCCGTCACAGGACACAATGGGGTGACAGTGCGCAGGCACCAGGTCATCTGGATGCTCCCCGGCAGCACTTTCAGTCCGGGCCAGACAACAAGAAGGAAGGTGTGCGTCCTTGAGCCCAGGACCCGCCCGAAGGTTCAGGAAACTCGCGAGCTCCCACGCTGCTCTGCAGGTCTGCGGGCCCGACTATACCCCGGGTCGAGACGCCCGGATGGACCAGGCCGAGGCTGGACGGAGCAGCTGGGAGGACCCCAACCCCAGGGCCCCTTTCCGGGCCTCCAGCCAAACCCAGCCTCACCCAGTCCCTGGCCAGCGCTGGCCCATCACAGAAGGACACACGTTGGCACACGGCCTTCCGCGTGGCTCCGTGGGCACAGGGCCCACAATACATCCGTTTTCAAAGGCCCCAGGAGCCACACTGGTCCGTTTGGTCCACAAAGTGGAGGTTTCTCACCTGATTCGAAACATCGTCAGCCAGTAATTCAAGGCATTGAACACGGCCCCAAGAATACCACCTACGACCGGGAAGGGGGAGCATGTAAGGGACACGGGGGAGGAAGGAGGTGGCCTCCCAGGCAGCAGAGGCGTGGCAAGGGAGCAGTGTATGTCTGTGTCACTGCACCCTGACGGACGCCCTGGCTTGTCTCAGAGGCTTTGCTTTCCTTCCAGGAAAAAAGGTTTCTCACAGCAAAAAGCACCATCCACAGCTCATTCTATTTCTCTGTGGACCCCCTGCCTCCCCCCCCAACAGCAGCTTCTCCGGTGGAGAGCTAAAGCTCTGGTCTTCGGGCTGTGGGCTCCCTCCTGGGGGCGTGTGCACAGGGCAGGACACGGGAGGATGTGGGGTGCGGGGCTGTGTTCCTCTCCGGCCACCTCAAAGCTGGGCCAGGCTGGGCCCTGGCAGGCCCCGACCCCACTGGAAGGGACCCGCAGCCGTCTGGGGGAGTGACAGGAAGCACGGACCGGCCCTTACCCACCACGCCCATGGCGATGAAGATGGGGATCTCGTGGATCGTGTACACCATCGTCTGCACAGGGGAGAGAACGAGCAGCCCGTGAGCTGTCTCCACGCAGACCCTGGTACAGACACGGCCCGCAGTCTGCCCGTGCACACGGCGCCCCCAGCATGTGCACGCAGAACCGTGGGGGTCCCACGAGACAGAAGCGCCGGGCGATCTGAGCAGATCACGTTCCCCGTAAGGCTTTCACCTGCTCCTGGTCTGCGTCTCCGTTCAGCTGAAGGCGGGGACGGCCCAAGCTTCTGCCAAATGGCGGTCAGCGGGGCACAAGTGAGGAAGAGCCCCGGGAACGCGTCTTGTGACCCTCTGAGCCACCCAGGGTCCTCTGTGTCCGCGTGCGCGGCCCCTCCCGGGAGTGGGATCTAAGCACCTTTGTCCAACAGTCAGCAGATGGCCAGGACACCCCCGGGAGCGTCCGATGGGTGTCAGGCATCCTAACCTGACGGGCAGTTCCGAGGTGTGCTTTCCTCCTATCTCCGGCCCTCGGCACTCAGCTCAATCATGCAGCTAAAACCAGCTATTTCTCTACAGTCCACGTTCTCAGAATGAACCGGAATCATCCCGGGATGATCTTGGCCCCACACTAAGAAAGAACCGGGAAGGACGCGGGAGCACATTATATTACCTCTGTGTCAAATCTTCCAAAGTTGATCAGTCCCGGGCTCGACAGGTCCCATATGTTTCCATGATAAATGCTCAGGACAAAATTGAGAGTGAACGTGGAAATCATGGAAGCAAAGAACTGTAGGCAGAGAGGACGAGCGCCATCAGAACCAAGCCCATTGGGCCGAAGTCCCAGAGCCAGGAGGCTGGGTGGGGGCCTTCCCCTGTCACTCAGGAGGTGTCTGGAGACCCTCCCGAGGCTGGCCCCTCGCGGCTGGATGAGTGGGTCACTGCCTTGTGTGGATGAGCGTTGGGCCAAGCCAGTGATGGAGCTGAGGGACGAGCTGTGCGGGGTCTGGGGTCCTGATAAGCAGGAGAGCAGGTGGCAAACAAGGCCCGCGGCCGACGGGGGACGGGCAGCGGCTCAGGTCAAGTGATGGGCAGGACCGGCCATGACAGACCCACAGGGTGCACGGCTCCCAGCACGTCAGGGGACGTCTCCCCAGGAGCAGGGGCCCGCCAGACAGCAGAGGCCAGGGACTGGCAGTGCCTGACTCCAGCGAGGGAGCGGCCCTCCACAGACTTACTATTCTCCACGTCAGGAACTGGTTCCAGAAGGAGGCGCCCTCCTCCAAGCTGAACAGCACCCCACCTAGAACGGCAAGCAGCCCGGCACTGCCGCGCTGACCCAGGCCGCGGGGGACCCCGCATCTACCACAGCCCCTGCCCCACGAGACCCCAGGGCCCCGAGACTGTCAAGGGCGGCCACAGGGCCTCTCGGGGGCACGTGCCCATCCTCACCCCGAGCTCAAAGTCTGCCAACACCAAGAACTCTCCTCCACACAGTGGGCACGGAGACCTCCCCGGCACAGGCCGCCCTCCTCACCCACAGGGGCTCCAAATGCAGCGGACACTCCGGCCGCAGCTCCCGCTGAGACGAAGTCCCGCTTCTCCGTGTCTCTGCGGAAGTACTCGAAGATCTACAACAGGAAGAAACGGGGAGAGTGGGGCTCAGCCAGCCTCCCCGAGGGCACTTCACTGAGAAAGGGCCGAGGTCAGCCAGAGGCCACGGAGACAGGGCCCAAAGGCAGAGGGGGGCAGGGAGGAGGGGACATGAAGGCGTCTCGGGACAGCCATCGACTTGCATTCACAAAGACCAGAGAGCTGACGAGGCGACACACGCTGAACGCACCCTTGCACGCCAACAACCGAGAGAGGGGACCGAAGACACCCATTCACAACAACGAGGACACGTCACAGTCTGCCTAAGAGACACGTTAGAAACTCAAAACCCCACCGCCAACCGCGAACAGATGAGCTGAAAACACGTTCTTGGTTGAAAAATCTAAGACTCTGCTTATAAAAACAACGAACGTGTGCATTCCCACATCAACTCAGCGCACTAGCCATCAAAACGTGGTGGCTTTTAAGGGAAACGTGACAAAAGTGCTCTGGAACAGGTCCCGAAACTAAGCCTCTTCAATGTGTCCATGAGTCACTCTTGCCTCCTCGTTCTGCGTGCCTTGGGGATGGTCGCGGGAGAGGCCAAGGTCCTGGCGGAGCCTCCCAGGGATGCGTGGTCGTCCGTGTCGGCAGGAGAGAACTCACCTTGAAATCTCGCTTCAGCGACGTTGACCTCCCTTGGGAAATCCCGGCGGCGATCACAGAGCCGGAGTGAATCATCGGCCCCTCCTAGAAGCACAGGACAGCCGCCCTCAGACAAGCGTGGCTCCGAGAGAACACAGTGGCCTCGGGTCGCAGGCAGAGCGCGGGGGACTCAGGCTAGGATGGCACCACACGCGCTCCGTTACCTTTCCCACTGCCAGTCCGCCCACCACAGACAGGATCACTCCAGACACTTTGATCACGAGGGTCTAGAATACAAGGGAAAACACATCGAGTCTCTGATCGAAGGCCACACGGTCTGGGAACCTGCAGCAAAGCTGTAAACGTGAAGCAATCCTGACTACGTGTCCAGCCCCAGCCCCACGAGACCAGGCAGGTGGGGAGGCCCACACGTCTACCGCGGGTATCCTCGGAGCCGGGCTCCCGGCTGATTCTTTCCTGACTTCCTTACCTTCCCATTTTCTACCCTGAGTACTCGTGTGCCCCAGGGAGCAGAGAGCAGCAGGAGGTACGGCTCCTTCGGGCCCCCGGGTGCATTTCTCTGCCGACCACCTGCCAGGGTCGCTGCCCACCGCCGCCTGGCTACCAGTGTGGTAGCCAGCAACGGGGCAGACGCTGCTCCCGGCGGCTCCGAGGTGAGTCCTGCCCTCTGCAGCAGGGCACGGGGCCTCCCCCGGGGTGTCACCCCCAGTGCACAGCTGCCGGCCCCCAGGAGCACCCCCTCTCCCCAGACGGGGTGAGAAGCCTCTGGCTGAGGCATGCCGACCCAACACCGGAAAGGACCACGGAGGGACCACGCTCCTGACCCCCCCCAACCTCCTCAGAAACAGGGTGTCAAAGACAGTAAGTGTAACGAACATCGAGGACAATTTTAAGAACAAGAGAAGCGTCACGGCAAGCGTACCCACCACTCTACCAGAGCTGTTCTCGTTTGGAAACATTAACCACCACGCAGAACTTAGGTTCCACACTGCCGTGACCCTAACAGATACCCCATTTCAGCATTTGTGCAGGACTTAAAGCGCTAAGAGAAAACCTCACCACCTTCCAAAGCAAGATTACGTAAAATCCACGCACATGCTCACGGGCAGCACACACAGTCCGTCTGGGCCGGTCCCCACGTGCAGGCGGGCAAACCAGGAGCTCCCGACCCCGCGAGAACCCCACGCGGAGCGCCTGCTGCCAGCCACGCGCCCCCTCCGGGCCTCACCTTGAGCCGGACCACATGCGGGATCTTCACCCCGTTGAGGAAGCACTTGATCTGGGGGATCCCGCTGCCGGCAGCGACCGGCTGGAAGGAGGCAGAGGCCAGCACTGAGCCCGGTCAGGTAGCGAGGGGCCGCAGCCACCACCCGGCCCAGGAGGACACAGCCACGCAGGGCCCCACAAGGGGAACAGCTGCCCACGGAGGGATTCTCGCTTCACCCCCCGGGAAGTGACCACCGGGGTCGGCAGACCACGGGAGGGGTGGGGAAAGGAGAGGAAAGGAAGCCCGGTGTCCCCAAGAGGGCACGAGGGGCGGGGGACGCTACAAGACAGACAGGAGGCACATGCCACACACTGGCCGAGGGGCCGGTGGGGAGGGCACCGCACAGCACCCCACACAGAAGCTTCTGGATGCTATACCCACGACAAGGGAGAGGCAAAGGGGCAGGCGAAGGAAGGCAGGCTTCTGAGAGACACGGGGGGTCCCTTCCACCTGGGCCGGCCCCACAGTCCTCGCTGAGCGGGGCAGGAGCCCGGCGCCCTGTGGTCGGGGGCGACTGGACGTTTAACACCTGCGCCAGAGGCCCCAGCAGTGTAGCCACGCCCACCCGGCCAGCACAGTGTCAGGGCTCCCACCCACGCAGGCGCCCCTGCCTCGACCTCCTGGTGGCCCTACCTCCACAAACGCGACGATGGCGGAGCCGACGAGCACGAATGCGGAATTGAGGGTGGCCCACAGCAGAAGGGAGAAGGACAGCCCGCCCCGCTCCGTGAACTTGTCGATGTCGAGGGCTCGTCAAGGATGAAAACTTTCCTGCTCTCTCCTGCGGCCCGGCCTCCCGAGCCCCAAGCGCCAGGAGCTGCGCACTGACCGGACCGTCACCTCCCGGCCGTGACAGACACGGGCACGCAGCCACACCTCCCCGCCCTTGATAGCACACACGCGGGG